ATATATATATATATATATATATATATATATATATATATATATATATACAAGCCTGTGCTTATTTAGGTTGACAATGTTTTGTGCAGAAAGGCATCGTTCTGCTGATGCGTTTTAGGTTTTTGTCCTGCTCAGCAGCTCATCAGTCACTGCTGTGGAAACCCCACCCCTCCATTTATTATCCCACTAATCTTTCTAACACATATGTGAGATTAGCATCCCCCTCCCACACACAAACACAGATAATCCAGGTTATTTAGCAGACATGTGCGATGCATGTTGAACCAGCCTGGCTCGTTTTGTGCCTTCAGTTTATTGACAGATCCATCAGAAGCACATGCAGTCCAGATGAGGCCATGTTTGTCTCCGGGGAGCAAGAGGATGTGAGCACGGAAGCAAAAATGAGTCATCTCAGAGCCGAGTGCCAATTAATCAATACCTTCATCTGCACTGACTCAGCTGTTACTCTGGGACATCTCTGGAGGGCAAGTTTATCCTTTAGGAACGCTGCAAACAAAAAACTGCTGCTCTGTTGTTGGTGAGAAAATAAAAACACAGCATTGAAAGAAAAGATTAGTTTCAGTTCTGGTTTTATTGTCTTCCTGTCCTCTCTGTGACCTGCGAGACAAATAAACCATGTGTGGCAGATGTTAAAATGAAATGCCTCTCCCACCATCAGGAGTCCATAACAGGAAGCAGTGCCTGGCTGGCAAATGGACATGACTGTTTCCGTAGCAACAATAAAGACATTAAACTCTCCTCCCAGTTTCCCCTCTGGCGTCTTTTATCTAACTGGATGGGACTGGAGGAAGAGACCTGATGAGGAAATGAGAGATAGGAAGTGGAACTCGTTGGTTTGTTCTTCCCCATGGGAGGAAAATAATATTTTTATTTATTGATTAATTTAATATCTACTTTGAAAAACCGTGGAGTGCTCTGTTGTATTTAATGACCGATTGATTTTGCAGCTCCCTCAGAGGTCAATTTTAATTGTCTCCATTCGGAGTAAAAAAGAGGATCTGGAAATACCCTCCGTCCGTCTGTAAATGTTGTGAGCACGATAACTTGAAAATTAGTGACTGACTTCAGTTTTGGTGTGTGGTTGCATTTAGGCGCGAGAAAAGGTCACTATCAGAAAATTGTGTTGCCTCGTCAAAATCCAAGATGGCTGCCACAATATATGTATAATAATGTAATATATGTATAATAATTTTTATATTGCTTAAAAGAATAAATGATTGGGGTGGCTCTCGGGGTGGCTGAAGATTAATCTATGGTGGCCAAGGCCACCATTGGCCACTCTCTGACTCCGCCATTGCACCTGGTGGTGGATTAAATTGCTCCCGCCACCTGCCAGGATCCGTCACTCTGCACCACCTTGAACAAGCAACTCAATTCAACTCAAAAATGATAAACATTCACTCTTCAAATCCCCGAGCAATGGGGGGGGGGGGGGCATCGGTGGACCTCTTAAATTTATATTTGTTTATTTCAGTGCCCACTGTGACCCCTCTCACACTTTTTAGTTAAAATATTGCACTGTT